CAAATTTTGAATAGAAATGTCATCATTTTACACATTAACCTGTGAAATGTTCCCAAATATTACAAATAAATAAATGTAAAAAAAAAAAAAAAAAATAGCGGTTAATCATTTTCTACAATGCATAAAAAAGGCCAATTTTTTATTTTTATTTTTTTTTTTTCCCATTTCTTGAAATAAATGTATTTTGAGAGGATAAGTATGGATTATGGTGATTTATGTTTCAGATAAAAAAAAAAAAGACAACATTATCTTATTTTAAGTGCAAAAACACTAATTTCATCAGCAGATCTTATTTACGTGCTCACAACAACAAAATATTCCACAGTCTTTTATTTATTCTATTATTCACTTTTTGTTGTCATTGTAATCACTTTGATTGATTGATGTCTGGCATCTACCGTCTGATTGTTTGGCGTTTCTTTCTTATTGACTTGCCTGAGACTACATATGTAAATTAGCCTTCTTGCTAATTCTGGCATTTTGCATTTAAATTATCATGAACAGACCCCTCACGGCCCAAATTGGGACAAGCGTGTCAGATAATGGATGGATTATCATGAACAGGCAGTGTCCCTTTAAAATAAAAAAAAAAGTAAAAAATTTGACAAGTGAACAGTGCAAGTAGGAGAGAGGCTGTCTATCTATCTATCTATCTATCTATCTATCTATCTATCTATCTATCTATCTATCTATCTATCTATCTATCTATCTATCTATCTGGACAAAATAGTTGGTCCCCCTTATTTAATGAAAGAAACCCCCAAATTAAACGCAGAACAAATTAGCTTTTTAGTCATGCCTCAACAGAATGAATTTATTTATGAAACAGGCCTGGACTAAAATATGGCACCCTTAACTTAACATTTTGTTGCCCAACCTTTACAGTCAATCTCTGCCATTAATGGTTCCTGTTCCTGACAGTCAGACCTCTGCTCCCCTCTGCAGGTTTTCTGCTCCGCTCCTCTCCTCATCAGTGGTGGTCAGAGGGCCCGGTGGCGCCAGTGTACGGCAGCCTCGCTTCTGTGAGTGAGCCCCAGGGCAGCTGTGGCTACAATGTAGCTTGCCACCATCAGTGTGTGAGTGTGTGTGTGAATGGGTGAATGAATGTAGTGTAAAGCGCTTTGGTCAAGTCTCCTAACTTGAATAATGGCGCTATATAAGTACATGCCATTTACCATTTACCATCAGTAAACTGCTCTAGGTGTCTCAGGTTTGAAGGCTGCCTTTTCCAGACGACCTGTTTCGGCTCCTTCCAAAGTTGCTAAGTAGGATCGAGGTCAGGGCTCCTAGGGGCCCCTTCAGAACAGTTCAATGTTTTCCTCTCAGCCTTTCTTGGCTGTTTCTATCTGTGTGTTTCGGCTCATTATACTGTTGGAGACACATGACCTGCGACTGAAACCAGGCTTCCTGACACTGCAGCACATTCATTTCTACCATCCATGATAGTCTGGAGATTTCATTGGACCTTGCAGAGATTCAGATAAAGCAAAGCAGCCCAGAGCATGACAGAGCCTCCTCCATGTTCCACAGTAGGGACAGTATTCTTTTCTTCATATGCTTCATTTTTCCATCTGTGATCATAGAGCTGTTTCTTTGCAAAACTTTCCACGTTTGTCTCATCTGTCCATAGGACATTCTCCCAGAATCTTTCTTTCTCGTCAACATGTAGTTTGATAAATTCCAGTCTTGCTTTTTAATGACTTGTTTCCAAACATGGGGTCCTCCTTGGTTGTCTCCCATTAGGTCCACTTTAGCTCAAACAAAGGCAGATGGTGTGATCTAAAACTGATGCTCCTGTAGCATAAAGTTCAACTTTAATCTCTTTGGAAGTTTATTTTTTTTATTCTATTTTGCCATTCATATCATCTGTGTCTTTGATTTGTCATCAGTTTTCCTCCTGCAGCCACGTCCAGGAAGGCTACTTTAAGTCCCATGGATCCTTAATTTCTGAATAATATGTGCAGCTGTAGTCACACGAACATCAACTGCTTGGAAATGGTCTATAGCTTTTTTCTTTAACATGCTGGTCTATAATTTGCTTTCTAATCTCTTGAAACAACCATTTGCTTTCCCTGGTCCATGTTGAGTGTGGTACACACCATGTCACCAAATAGCTAGTGACGTTAGGCTCGAGTCAATCTGCTCGACTCAGCTTCAACCTTTTTGAATCAGAAGTGTTGCTGAGAAATGTTTCATGAGTGCTTCAGAGTATTTTTTATTATTATTTATAAAATCATTATCAATATTATGGAACAAACGATTTCAGCCGTGAAATAATGCAGACATTAGGATACCTGCTCAGTTGTAGTTTTGATAACATCCAGTAGATCCCACCGCTCTAAATCAAATGTCTCGAGCCTGGTGCCGAGTTTCAGCCAGTTGTGTCAAATTGATTCACATGGCTTGGAAATTGCCATCACAGTGACTACCTGTAGCTCTATATATAGACCCACTTACTGATTTCTAGACCGTAGACACCTGTGATGATAATTAGTGGACACACCTTGATTTAACACGTCCCTTTGGTCACATTATAATCAGTAATTTCTAAAGGAGCATCATTTTTGTCCAGGCCTGTTTCATTAGATTATTTTTTAAATCATTCAATTACACCCTGGCAGTGTCTGACAATGATTTGCTCATTTTCATAAAATATTTCTATTTTGTTACGTTTATCAGATTCAAGTTATTTCTGGGATCATCGTTGGATTTTCTTTTATTAAACAAGTGGTAGAAAACAATCTGGTCCACGTGTGTATCTGTCCATCTATGGACACATCCAGGAAACATTTCACAGATTCTAAAAGGAAATTCTCCTCCTTAATGTATTCATTACCTCATAATTCATACTTAAGTCTGTCTTTTCTCAGAGACCCGGTTCCTATTCACGTTACACACCAAGATTATTTAATCCTGGTTTCTTGTTGCTTTAGTTATGTTGTCCACATTCTTTCTCAGTTGAACTGGAAGGTCTGCATGCTCTTTTTGTATTTCTTTTTCTTTGGTGTGTTTCTTTTGTGTTTTAAATATTGAATAGTACAGAGCAATGAAAGTGTACCTCCACAAATAAAATCACTAGATAAATAAAAGCCAAAGCTCATTTAATCCACCTGGAAAACAACATTGACCATTTGAATTATGAAATAGCTGGCAAGGCTCTACAGCACATCTCTTAATGTACAAAGCATTAATATTTCATACCAAGTAGAAAAGAAAAAAAAATAAAGTTTAACAAGTTTTTTTTTAGTTTAGTATTATGTTGGATAAAATTACGACACTGCAGTATTTTTCTTGATTTGAGCAGGTAAGAAAACTTGGCAATGAAATAAAATGATTTTTTAATTTTTCTTTATATTTATTTAATTAGACATAAGTACATTATATCTATTTTTTTATTTTAGACAACAAAACCATTCCATCTGCAGATCATCTGTTTTCCCGCTTACACTAGAAAAACAATCTACAAAATAAGTAAAAATGTCTTAAATTAAGTGTATTTACCCTTAATTTGAGTAGGTCAATGAGATAGTTTGCCATTGGAATGAGTATTTTTACTCTTAAAATAAGATAATTACATAACATGCACTTGAAATAAGACTAGTATTATTATTTTAAATGTAAATTGTCTTGTTCCGTTGGCAAAATGAGTCTTTTACCTCCTCAATCCAAGAACAAATACACCTGTTTTAAGAAAAAAATTACTTATCTAGATTTAGATTTTTTGCAGTGTAGTCAGTCCTTTTTAGCTAATGCATTTTAAGAAATTTTGAAGTTTGCATGATGAATGCTAAAGCTAATGGGTGGAATGCTTATGGAAATTTCTTTACTGCAGTGAATCTCAATGTTTGGGCTTCACAGTTAAGAATTCAAAACTGTAACACCCAACAAGTATTTTTAGTGCTCCGTATCAAATCATTCTCACTGGCCTGATAGTTGTTGTTGTCTGAGATCAGGAGGTTTTATAGTAACTGAGATGAGAAAAAAATGATAGCATTCATGAATACAATTACCCTGTGAAAAGATAAACGGTCTCCTCTGATTTTAAAGTTGAACTAATTTACTGATGATCTTTTTTTAATGAGGCTGTCAAGTGATAATTGAGAGTCTAGTCTAGTATTTCTTTTCTCTAACTTTTGCAACGTCTGGACAATTAGTTGTTGGAAGCAGTTTTTCAGGACGACGAGATCTGGAAGAAAAACAAACTGACATTTAAATTAATCCTGAGATTTAAATCCACAGCGTTTAAGTCAGGGGTCTGCAAATTTTACAAAGAGTCACTTTTGACTTCAGTCCAGCTAATTAAACTTATTTAGACCCACTTAAAAAATAAATAATGAAAACTTATATTTAATACATATCTATCTACTTTGTAACTGGCGTACATTTTAAAATTTTAGGTTTTAAAATAAAATAAAAATCTTCCTCACCAATAACAGATCTTAAAATATTTTATAAATATTTTATAAATTCAATGCAATTAATCAGTAAAGAACATGCTAAAACATGCATTTGTTAAACAAATATATTTTCTATAACTAGCTGGTTCTCATTTTTTGATCCATTGTTTAGGGTCTAAAGAGCCACATCTTGCAGACCACCTGGTCTAGATGAATCTTCAGCTTCAGTAAACTTAAAATAGTTTTACACATAAACTAGAGCATCATCTGCATGCATTTAGAAAGAAACGACTGGTTTCTGACAGGAATTAATATAAAGTGAGAAAAGCAGTGGACCAAGTATTGATCCCTGAGGGACACCTTTCTTAAATGTGATTACTTTGCATTATTAATTACTACAAATTAATTCACTGTTTCCTTTCATATCCACTGTAGTGCTGCTGGACCAAGCCACCTAAATATCTGTTGTTGAAAATAGTTTTTTTATCCAGATAAAAGTCCAGTTGCTTCTGACTGTAGCTTGATTTTCAATGAACAATTCCTTTGTGTAAAAAAAAATAAAGTGTGATCTTAAATCTTCTAACTTGAAAACAAAATGGAGAGTATTCTTCACACTTTTTATTAGAAACGCAGATTTGAACACATATACCTGTCATTCAGTAGATTAAAAACCCAGAAAGATTTGACACATATCTAAGTCATCCAAACAAGTCCACAGAGCTCCAGAGCCGTAACGTCCCCAAGCACGGCTCCTCGGATGTCTGGCTCTTCGGGACGTTCCAGTACCTTTAGGAGGCATCAGCACCACTTCGCACCTTTTTTCCAGATGAAATATTTGCACTCTGTCTGCATCAGTGACTCATCTGCAGGTATTAGCTGTCTGCCCGTCTTCCTCTGCAGAGTCCTCTGAGCTGTTCACCACGGCGGCGCTGAGCGTATGGAGATCCTCTAACACACTCAGCAGCGTCTCTGTGGAGAGACACAGACAGGCTGCTGGTCAGACCGGAGGCACCTGTGTAAATGTCAGCACGCTGACTGAGACGTGTGCAGGATTGGGGACATTTATCGTCACCTGTGGGTATGTTTCTGGGAGGGGCAGCTGCTGTGTGACCCTCTGTAACCTCATTTGGTCCGTTTTCAGCAACCTGGACCTGCAGCAGAGGATTCTCTTTATACGGCACAAATAAAACCATCTCAGACGGCGTTTTGTTGATGTGAAATCATCCTTACAGGAGGCAGGTCATCTCTCTGTTCCCTCCCCTTCGGTTTTTTAATAAACATTTCAGGCTTCGTCTTCTCATTATCCGGTCGTCGAATTTCTCTCGCCTCATCGTGTTTCCTTGCTGCCTCCCTCTGAAACTCCCGTAAAGTCATAACTGTAGCACACAACAAAGACATCTCATTAACCACGAGGGCAAAGCTGCTATATGATGCTGCTGTATGCGGTGTCAACAAAGCCAGAGCTGTTATATCACAGGCTGCATTACAAATATAACTCCCCCCTCCCACGCCGGGGGTCTGTGGCCTGAGGCGGCGCTGGGGCGGACATCACTACCTGCTTTGGTGTGTTCTCTCCTGGCAGAACTGACTCGAACCTCCATCTCTTTCAGTTTCTCAGCACATCGCCCCTCAATCTCAGCCACTTTTTCCAGTAGGGCTGAAAAAGGAGAGGTAGTATTAAAGAATAAATAACCAACAGGGAAACCCAGAACTCCACAGCAGAGAGGTCAATGAAATCCCCCCCTCCCCCGTTTCATGTATAAATCAAACTGTTCGTGGTTGCAGGCATGTCTCCAGCATTTCTCATTCCCTTACAATCTGTGTTCTTCATCTCCTCTGCTGTGTCATGAATGAAGCATGCATCTCCAGCCTCTGCTCCTACAGACAGGACTCCTCTGACTCCACAACCTTAGATGCATTTTATCAGGATCTTATGACACAGAATGACAGAAAGGAGCGCTTCACTGAGAAGTGAAAAGAATACATTAATTTGAGCATTTCTGAAAACCCTGAAAATCTGACCCTTCCTTCTTACTCTGATATGATAGATATAAACCTGATATAAATCAATTATACTTTTATTATTTAGTTTGTAGCGTGGATGATTAGAGAAGTCCAATATAATATCAAACAACAGGCTACAGAAACTTTAAAGCTTCACAGTCACGTTAAACATTGACACAGAAGAGACATAAAAACCAACTGATCCCGGATTCTATGAGAAGTCAAACAGACATGGCTACTAGTGATTAGAGCCTGACCGTCCTGCACTGCCTCTTGGTAAAGCGAACATCGATGCAAAAGAGAATTCCTGTTATTAACAAACACAAACAGAGACACAGCATTTAGGTAAAAAAAAAAAAACAATCAATTTATAATATAGTTTATACTACTTAGAGACTAAGAGTAGCATTACTATCACTACTATCAGTATGAATAAGGACCAGATGGAGATAGGAGATTTGCGTCACTGGAAGACCAAGTAAGTTAAGTTCCTACTTTTGGTGGTTTTGGAGGTTAACTAACAAAATAAACAACCATTAGGAAAAAGATAACTGACTGAGAGGTTGTCTTCCATATTATAGTTCTTTTGTTAGCCATTTGAAATGTGTTTATTTTAATCCAAAGCCTGGTTCATTCAGTTGCCGCCTGTGTAACGTTTAAAGACGTTGACGTTTTGTTTACGTCATCAAAGATGAGTAGAATAACCTAAATATAATTTTTAACTAACATAGAGAGTGGTTACGCATTAGTGGATGTAGTCTTTCAAACATCTAAGTTTTATTTACTGTATGTGTTGGACTATGTATGAAATAAACTGTTATCCATCTCAAACATATTCCTTATTAATATTACTTCACATTAAGTAGAAGCAGAGAGCATGATGTGATATTTAAGATCTGTTGTCCATTTTCCTGTAGTTTAGTGTGGTTTATTAACGTCTATGCTAACAATTGCAATGCTAGTGTGAGAGACTAACTTCCATCTAACTATTGAAGCTCCGTGTGTCACCATAGCTTTTTAAAACATCACCATTATCGGAGCCTCCTTATCTTTATGGCTCTGGTAAGGAATTTTTATTAACACATTCATTAACTTAGAAGCAACATCTAAACACCTCAGAAGCTTCGGTGAGCACCAGCATTCACACTAGATTCCCAGCGCTGTTCCCTCTTGGAATTAAATATTTTACATATTTTTTATTATTTAGACTGGATCTTAGATTTTTTTCTTTATTATTTTAACACTTCACAACTGTGGCTAACTAGCTTAGCCACAGTAGCCTACTTCCTTGTTCTTGTTCACCTTCTGTACTCATGCTCAGTATCGTTCCTCCTTTAATAATGTTACTGTACATAAAGGACATAGTAATCTTTCAGAAGAACTTTTTACACAAACAGAGTGAACTACTGGGGTATAGATTTAAAAAATGTACCTTTAAATAAAATTGCAAACAGATAAAAAAGATCTGAAGAATCTGATTCCAATAGAAGTGTTGGAATAGTTTAAATTCAAATAAAGATTTTAAAAGCTTCTTTAGTATAACTGGAAACATTGGACCCTCCTTCACATCAAGAGAAGGAATCACCTCCTCCCATCATGAGTAAAATATTTCAGCCAATGTGAAACATTTTTTAGCTTGTATGTTCCGTCCATTCATTAAACAAATAAATCACATTTTTAATAGCATTTATAGCCACAGTTGAAAATGTTCCCATAATTGATTTATCCATGTATTTAATGCAGCCTCTGTCTTAAAGGGATAGTTCGGTATTTTTGACATGAATCTGTATGGCATTCCCATCACCAGCGGCATGCAATCACACTGACTTACCCCTGGCAGCGTCCTGTGAGCAGAGTTATCGTCCAGTTTTGGTCAAGCCGAAAGTAGTCCTGCAGGTTTTTAGGTACAGCGAAATAAAACTTTTCTCTTCCCAAAACATTATGTGTTCAAAAGAGCGATATTTTCGCATCCCAAAAACATTGTAGTGGAAAAAGTCACACGTCGTTATCAATTGGTCCTATTTTCTCTCTGTTCGTATCAGTGCGCGCCGTCGTTCAGACAGCGAGCCCAACAACAGCCATGTCTCCCTCCGCGGCGGAGATACGAACAGAGAGAAAATAGGACCAATTGATAACGACGTGTGACTTTTTCCACTACAATGTTTTTGGGATGCGAAAATATCACTCTTTTGAACACATAATGTTTTGGGAAGAGAAAAGTTTTATTTCGCTGTACCTAAAAACCTGCAGGACTACTTTCGGCTTGACCAAAACTGGACGATAACTCTGCTCACAGGACGCTGCCAGGGGTAAGTCAGTGTGATTGCATGCCGCTGGTGATGGGAATGCCATACAGATTCATGTCAAAAATACCGAACTATCCCTTTAAAGTTGAGGTGTGACAGTGAGCAGGGATCTTCCACTGATAAATTACTTCGAGCACTTTACAGTTGTGCGCCTAAATGACGCTGAAATGAGACGTGCAGAAAGGAATTTTAAAGAACTCCTGTGGGGAGGTGAAGTAGACCACAGACACCCCAGAACAAGTGTTAGTGATTCAGAAGCAAAACTCATTAAAAGCAGCACAAACTTTGGTCCCTGTACAGCCTGCTCGCGACAACAGGAGTGACATGGTGAGAAAACAGGATGTTAAATTTAGATTGGGATGTTTTGGGACAGAGAAGGGTTTGCAGCTCGTCTGTTATTGTATGGAGATGCTTATTGTGACGTTTAGCCAAAGCTCTGATGAGCAGTGCATCCTCAGTGAGCATTTCTGTAGCCAGAGGCCATTCAAGTTGTTGTTCTGGTGTTAATACCTTATCAGTCATAAAAAATATATATTGTTTTATTTTGATTAATGCCAGCTTTGGATTTTTTTCCCCAAAAATTCTGGACATTTGAGTTGAAAATGGATTTAGGTTGAAAAGTGTGATGCAGGAATCCTGAAGCAGCCTGATACTGAACTCTGTTTCTGGATCAGCAACTCACTTTTTTTTATTTTTTTATTTATTTGTTGTCATTATACGGTAACAAATACAGAGAAACGAAATGAACCCTCTGCATTTAACCCATCCCCTTGGGGAGCAGTGAGCTGCCTTTGTGCGGTACCCAGGGAGCAGTGTGGGCTTAAGGGTCTTGCTCAGGGACCCAGAGTGGCAGTCTGTGGGAGTGGGGCTTGAACTCAGAACCTCTGGATTCCATGCGCAATGCCCCATATGTGTAAACTTCTGGAATAAATATCAGTTCTATAAATCACAGTTTCTGAACCTTGCTAAAACAAAGCTACAAAAACATCCCTTGTTTGATGCTGGACCAGTTTAAAGCATATAGTCACGTTATAAGACATTTTAAACTTTACACATCAGTAATTAACTCTGGTTGCATACAAGGTTTTACTAAATATTACTACATGTTGCTGCCGTATTATCTGCTTTTGCTCATTGTGTTAGTAAATGATGCCCTTAGTTTATCTTTGCAATAACAAGGCAGATATAATACTGAGCTTGTGTGCAGAGGGTAAAAAGAAGGTAGCCTTTTACAGCTGAGCCAGTTAGCACATCACAGGGAAGTGTAGAAATAATCAAGTAAAGTCTAAGAGCCAATCCAAGGTAAAAAAAAAAAATATTTGATTTCAAGCGAAAAGACTGGAACTGAGAGTAAAGTTTGAATGTTGGTGTTTTTTCCCCTTGTACTGGTGTTGGCCAATATTAGCGTGTGGTTTTTTATTAAAGCATTCAGCAGGCTTACGTTGAAATCCCGTGGAGCTCATTCATTGCTGCGCCATTCCTTTGCTATTAGTCATTAATCTTTTATCTACTTATTGATATTTAGAGAAACGTTAAGGACCTGGGATTTATAGAACTGATATTTTTTCTGAAGTGTAAGAAATAATGTATTTTGAACTGACCTTTGTTGTTATTTTATCATGTTAATGAAGAAAATAGAAGCAACATCTGCCTGAAGGATCGGCCCCAAAATTCAGGTTATTTCTATAGTTCAAATTCAAGACACGTCATCCAAAGGCACTTTATAGACACAATTCAGCTAGATCATCCAGTCAGATTGGTTTAAAGATTTCTATATAAGGAAAACCAGCTGATTACATCGACTCACTCAAAGGCAATCCCTCACAACTTAAAAATAAATTGTTAATCTCAAGAGTCAACATCCTTATTAACAGTGACTATAGCGGTAGCAATGCTATGCTAAGAGTCTAAACCCAAACCAGATTCTAGATTAATTGGTTCTTCCCTTGATGCCATGTCCCTGTTTGCTTTTTAGGAGCAGGAATTTTCTCTTCTCGATGTTCTGACAGGAGGCTCTGGGGACCTAAGTGTTTCTGTAGGTCAGATTATTTAATGAATATCTGTTGACCAGGCTGAGCTGTTGCTTAACTATGAGGCATTGCAGGATGGTCAGGCTCTATTAAGTAGCTGCATCAATTCTTGCAATCTGGCTTTCTGCAAGTCCTAGCAACAGATGGCACCACATCTGTTTACAGGTGGTGCCATGTAGTTTCCACTATTTAGACTCCAATAACAATGCTCACTATTGCATCACTTGGTTTAAATAACTTTATTTCATCAAGGTCAAATGGTTTTTGGTCTTTTTTTGTATGTGATTTTAACAACTGTACCTAAAGTTGGCCTTGAT